TTCGTTAGACTTTTCGAACGATTCGTTACTAACGTGTTTAACTCGTTTGACTTTACGAACGTACCCATTATTAAAGACTTCGATACAAAAATGAAAATTTGTGAATTGGCAAAGAATTTGATCTACCGAAATTGTCGGTCAGAACGATTATAAAAGGCAAAGAAAAATTCTCGAAGCTGTGAAAAATGTTCAATCTTTAAATTCAAGCATCATTCGTAAACGTCACAGTATTATCGCTGAGATGGAAACAATGTTAAAATTATGGCGTAATAATCAAGTAAATGTGAAAAACTGTAAAATAATATAGGCCTAATTTGTTATACATATGTATTATCTAAGATTTTATTAAACATTTTTTTCTAAATTATTGTTTTCTTTAGTCTCCGGCTCCAATTAAAAATTATTTGTATGTATTTATATGCGAAATTATACCCCGACTTACGCGGTTACCGCTCGGTCCCACCTATGCGTAAGTTCGGGGTATTACTGTATACAATGATGAACTCTAATAATGTTCTAATTTAGATGATAATGAAAAGTCAGAGAATTAAGGCCACTCCATAAATTTACAGTAAATACCAAGTATTTTTTTTTTTTTTTTTTTTTTTTTTTTTTGTAAACTCTTCGACTTGTGGACCCTAAGAGGCCTCCTTTAGTAAACCCATTATGGGTTCGGCCAGGTTCACAATGGGGCAACCGGATGGTGAGAGACGGGGCCCGACATATCCGGACAGACCACCATCTGAAAAGTTCCTGGGGCTTTCTCGACCGTCGGAAATGTAAACGCTAATTGAAAATAATTATTTAGTGTTATTAAACATCCTATAAATACTTTTAAACAGTTTAATTTGTTTATTTACCTTTGGTAGTAACCCTGGACGTTAAATGTATCCGCCATTTTTTCAACAAATTTCTGGTGAGTCAATGCGCGACGTTCACTGAGTAACGTGATGTTGTGATCGTCTTTTACTTGGACTTAAAACGTGAAACGTGTACTTCTGTTCGCCATACAAGTTTAAAGTTTGTACTTCAACCTCTCTACTGTCGAATATTGAGCCTGAGAAAGTCGCGATCGAATTCCTAAGTCGACAGCTTATCAGCCAAAGGTTAACTAGGAGAACTCGAATTTGAAACAGATGATGAGTTTGATTTAGATGATGGCAATCAAGATCTTGATTCATACAACGACATCAAAGCAGACAAGAATGACAACGTAATAACTCAATCAATGATGCTGAATCGGGTTAACTGTGAAAACCCGATTCAGCATCAAATTGTGAAAACCCGAAACTGTGTCAAATGTTTTAGTTGTTAAATTAAGATAACTTTGGTAATTCTTTCAATTTTTACGCACTCGTCTCCTGTTATGAGGTAGTAAATCCCAGCCTCGAAAAAACTCCGGGTCTTCAAATAAACCCTGCGTGATACATAAGTTTACTTGCTCGGTTTACTCGATGAAATACGGTAATCTCTAAACATTTGAAGTTTCTTATTAATTTATAAAACTGTTATTAAAAGTTCAGTCAACTCATTAGCTTATATAAACACTAGACATATATAAACAGTAGTATCCCGGAACGTCCAGTAGGGGGCGTTCCGGGATACTACTGTTTATATAAGTCTAGTAGCAGCGATGTCATTCCGTAGTTTAATTAAATAAGAAAATTCATATACATAATAAATTTGTATTACAAATAAAAATAATAATATATACTGTTAATAAATAAATTATACTGTTATAAATAAATTATACTATTAATTTAAATAATAGTATCTGTAGCTGAAAATCCGTAGCTGAAAATCATCGCTACGGACGCCCCCTAGTGCGCGTTCTAGGCAATCCGTGACAGATATGCAAACAGTGGCATAAATGGCTTATTTGATATAAGTGGATGTAGCCGCATCGTTTTTTAAAAAAATCTAAACCCCTCGCTACTATTATTTTTAGTACAGAATAAAGTACACAAATATCATTCGGGAATTTCAGATACTGAGTCGGCTATTTTTGTCATACAGCCATCCGAAACTATATAATGGTCTAGCGACGCCAATGTGAACGACTCATTGTCATCATAACTACCGCGCTCCATCAACGTCCATGGATTTAGGTCATTACATTCTTTTTTGATGTTGATCATCATACCTTTTGTGTGACTGTTACTAATTTTTCTGCTGTTCTCAGTGGTACTGTTTTCAATTTGGGTGTGGTTGCGCACAATTTCAATGTATGTAAATATCTTTGTAACTTGTACGAAATTCATTGCAGTAGAACTTGTGCAGATAGATTTTCTAATTGACTGTTCAGTTGTCTGCAGTCTGTTACGTATCATTTTAAATTTGTTTTTTGTTCATTTAAGGGGATTTGGTTTTGTTTTATTTGTTTAAGGGAACGCGATACGTGGGCGATCTGTCGATGGGAATGCCCCGGGATAATTTTATAAGGAAACTAATCCCTATTTAGGTATTACTAAAGTGATAAAAATATGCAAAACCCCACGTGGCCAGGTCGTTGCCAGGCACAAATCCACTACCAACTACTAATGTTCAGCGGTTTCATCCACTCGGTCACTGATGGGCAATCTATGGGGATCTGGTATACTTCTGCTTTTTCTATTTGATGTAGTTTTTCTTTTTCATTTCTAATATAGTCGAAGATTATAGGATGAATTAATTACAGTAGAGCGTCGATTTTCCGAAAGTCAATCATCCAAAACGTCAATCATCCGAAAGAATTCCAGTCGGCAAATTTAAATTTTTGCCAGTACAATGGCGCTTCAATCTTTGTCTATGTCTTGGGCTACTCAAATATTTTACGTTTTTGATACTAAATTAACATCTGAAGTATAATTTTTTGTTTTTATATTTTTCAATATATTTATTTTGTTTGTACAAAATAAAAAAATAATTTTTAATACAATAGTCTTCGTTAGGCTTAACATCGACGAAAATTCAACGCGAAGCGACACGCAACGGAGAAAAATTTCAACATCGGATACGTTAAACTATTTTTTCGTACATAAATCGGTTATCCGAAATATCAGTTATACGAACAACCCCAGTCCCCAATTGATTCGGAAAATCGACGCTCTGTTGTATTTGTAAATTAGTGTCTGTTACGTTTTTATTTAATTCGCTTTTCCAATGATCTGTGATGAAAGCACGTTTTTCTTCTTTACACTTTCTGTTTATTATTGGTATGTATTGTCCATTAAACATGAAAGAATATTTTGTATTAAAATTTCTGTAATTCTTTAATATTTCCTTACAATACTTTTTTTATGTAAACAATCTCCCATGTGCTTCTTATGTGGTAAAAAATAGGATATATCCAATTCTGGAAACAAGCTATCTTCTATTTGGATGTGTCTTTTGATGTATAATGAATGTATATTTTGATAAATGATGGTTTTCTGTACTCCTCAATTATTAACTGCCCCTTCATAATGTTTATATTTAAGTAATGGACATTTCTTCCATGACTGTAGGGTATCCTGATCCATCTGTAGGGTCATCTCAACTTTATTGCATTAAAAATCTTTGTAGATTTCTTTTTCATTCCACAATAACAAGAAATTATCAACATAACAAAATGCTGCAACTGTTTTTTATCTGAATGAATCTATTATTGGAAACTATGAAAATCAAGCAAATTTTTTTCAACGTTACTGAAATAAAATGAAATTTCTGCTACTGCCACTGGAATCAAACATATTTCTTCAAGAAAAGTGAAAAAATGTGGACAAATATGTGGACATTAGCTTTCTTGTTCTATCTTTTATTCCTTTTTTTTCCTGATGCGGGTTTCTTACTCAATCTGAACTTGTATGCTTTACCTTTGATCTGCATTCAGTTGGTTGTTAGTTTGAATATTTGTTTGTTTAGTTCCATTTTTATTTTCACTTACATATTTCAAATTTTTACACAGTGTCTCGTAAAATTATGTACAAATAATAATCAGTGGGACAACTATAAGAAATTAGAACTCACTATTTTATTTTACAAAAATAAGAACTAATAAAAATATTAAGATCGGTCTGAGTTTGTTTCCTTTTTATTCATACACATTACTACCTAACACAGAAATATCCAGTCTAGAACAGTTAAGTTGATTGAAAAAGGACATTGTACACGTTCAGCGCACTAAACAGCTATGTAACAGTTGAACAATTGTGGAATAACGTTTATATTATTGCCTTGAAAAATCATGTTGTCTGAATAACTAGTTGGCGATTTAACGTGTAAAATGATTATCAAAAGCAATTATATCATAGTTGGACAGTCTTGAATTGTGCTATAGATAATCCTGTAATAATATCAACTGTTATGTGACTGTTGAGTGCCCTGGACATACTAGTTATTTACCGTACGCATGGGAGTTCGAAGAAAATTTCTCTTCGGTGCTAAACTTGGAAACAAATAAGTTAAATGTATCAAGAAATTTTAATGTAAATATTTAATTTTTGAGGAATTTTTTACAAGTAGATTATAGAATACAGTATCGCATCAAAGCGTTCCGAGGTCGATGTAAAATTACACATCTCAATTACTTTGACGATTATAATTTGTGGAATTTCTTACTCGATCCAGGGAGGAACGGGTGCCCGTTGATTTAGTTACTTTTTCAACTATTTTCAGTCTCACCTGTCACTTGCAACCTTATAATTAATTAAGACGAAAATGATTCCTATTCCGGACATTAAACATGGCGGAGATCTAGCATGTTTATCGTCCTATTTTACTTTTTAAAACGCGCTTTCTTAATATTTTATTTAAAATTGTTACATTTATTACGTAAATTTTTAATCTTAGGTATCCGCTCGTGCATAGCTAATCAAGCAATTCATTTTAAATTATTCTATTCAGGGTTCTTCATATGTTACGTAACGCAGATAATCGTTATGATGCCTTATAAGGAATAGGATGTTATAAAAACGTTATGTAATTCGTTTCCGAACAATTACATAGCAAACCATGCTATTTATAGCAATGTTCTAAATATTAATATTTAGAACATTGTTCTTCAGACAAATTTGCCGAAAGAATACAAAATTTATCGTATTGATCATCCAGTGTATAAATATTTTTATCGTTTTTTTCTTCTCTTTTTGCCCAGGGCTGTATTTTTGCTGACGAAAGAATTAAAAATGACAAGAAACCCACCACATAGAATCCTGTTGATATATAAAAAATGTAACTCCATTGGGTCATGCTGCCTGGCTGTAAGTAGAAAACATTTTGTTACTTTGTGTCATATAAATTTAGCATTTTGTTACTTTTATGGTGTACTTACGTCTTTGTCTAGCAAAATTCCTGCTAAATGAGGTGCTAGAAATCCTGGTATGCAAGATAAACCGTTTGTTAGTCCGAATATCGTACCTGTAAGATTAGTTGTTGATTATTCGTGATTTTGTCAGAATAGTTAAAATAAAAGTATGATAAAAGTACTGAAGTGATCGAGAAATTGATCGTGAAAATTTGTGGAATACTTATAAACTTAATGAAATGATTCATTCTAATAGAAATGATATTACAATAAAGGCACCAAGTGTCATCTGTAATCCAGTTAAAACGAGTTTGTTCGTTTTAACTGGATTACAGGTGACACTTATATATGAACATTATATGAACAAATGTTTTAAACTGTTCTTAACAGCCATTTTACAGTTATGGAATGCTACATAGAATAAATTCAGAAAAAGTAAATTTAAATAAAAACAGTTGAAAACGTTCGTTAATATAATAAATTTGTTTGTTTTAACTGGATTACGGGTGACAGTTGATGCTTTCATTGTAATCTCATCCAGTTTTGTAGTATCTTTTAATCTATATAGAAATGATATTACAAACATATATTGTGAGATAAGTTATGTACACAATTCATTCCCATAAAATTAATTTATCTGAATTTAAACTTGTCTGCGGGAAGAATTATATTGATTAGGCAGACATAACTACGGTAGGATAATGGAAATAATTGACCAAAGCATCATCGCGGAAATTACTTTTTAAAATGTAAGGAAATTTCTTCTGGGAAAGAACTGCTCGAGGAAGACTGGAGAAGAACTTCCGGGAAGAATTGCCTGGGGATGAAATGTCTGGGAAGAAGTGACCGCTCACCAATAGAATACAGGAATTTAAAAATTTTGTTACAAGTGGCTAAAATTAATATTGTTGTAACTCATTATAGATATATAGTTGAGTTGTTTAAGGTTGTGCATTTCGATATATGGTCTTTGTTTCGAGTTTAATGAAGAAAATAGAATGCAAATTGAGTACGAAGAATTTATACTGATTATTGATTTCTGTTGGACTACAAATAAAGGAATTCGTTGTTTATTTCTAATTAATGAAGACTAACGTAATGTTCATTAAACTATAACTTCTATAAGACATCAGAAAGTTCTTCACTATTTTTCGCTAAAAAAAATTTAAAGATTTGCATATTTATGACATTAGTTGTGTTCTGTCTATGTCAACTATAAATTGACGTGAAAGAGCAAAAAGCATAAAAAAATAGTTTAATAAAGAATGTTTTCAGCAAAGTAAGTTACAAACTATAATCTATTTTAAAATTTTAGTACTGATTCCAATAGTTTCTGAAATGGGACTTTACCCATTTAGGTGTAATATTTTTAAGACGGCTAATATTACGCGTGCCGGTAATTCAACTGCAACAACAAAACACATGAACACGATAGAGAAAATTTGAATTTGTTTATAATTTCAAAGAAATTTGAAATTAGAAAATAATTTCAATGAGCATTTTGAATTATTTTTGTGGAATTTTTTTAAATATGAAGAAAGAGAAATAAATGATTCTTTTATAAAAACAAAAATAAATGTAGATTTAAAAATGAAACCTGCATAATCCGGGGCTAAATCGACAACAGCGACCATGTCACCACCTCCGATACAACCAAACAAACCCATTGAGATTGTTAAGAGTATAATAACTTTTAAGGTATCGCATCCAATAAGTGGTATGATCGCCATGCAAATTCCTGGACCCAATAATCCTAAAAAATAAAAATAACAAATATAACCGCAATCAAGTAACATAAATCGATGTTAAATTAAACCATACCTATAGTTTCGCATATTTTTCGAACTGTCGTAACCTGGAGAATTCCTTTTTTTATGATTACATCTGATATGTATCCAGATATAATTAGAGATGCTGAATTTGCTATATAAACTAGAGCGTTGATTAAACTGTTCTATGGGAAATACAGTATTTTTAAGCTATCTTTATAGGAAGAATTGTTTATTATGATAATAATATTCACCTGCTGAATAGGAAAATGAAGAACAGTGGCCAAGTAAGATGGAAGCTTCGATAACAACGTATAAAATCCCCATGACCAACAAAACTTAGCAATGGCTATGGCCCAAACTGGCCCAGAAGTTAAAATACTTTTCCATGGTATTTTAGATGAATCCTTTCAAGTTACAGAGAATATATTTATTAATTAAGAATAGAAAATATGAAAAATAACGATTTCTAGTACGTACAGTTACATTAGAAGAAGAACATATATTCTTTTTTAAATACTTCAATTCTTTTGTAGAGATGCGTGGATGCACTGAAGGACTTTCATATATAAAATAAATCAGAAATGATGTCAAAACGCAACCCATAATCCCTGTTATATAAAATGTTCAAAATTTCAACATGATTAATACTTAATTGAATTTATATATATTGCCCCAAATTCTTTACCAAATACATAAAAGGCACTCGGCCAACCCCCAGCAAAACCATATTGACAGAGAAATCCAGTTAGTGACATGGCAAGAATTGTTCCAAATTGGTTTCCGGAAGTACAGATAGTAATTAGTGTGCTGCGTTCTTGCATCGGTGCCCATCTTCCTAGGAGAGTATACACAGCGGGATATGTCAAACCCTGTAATGAATTATCCATAAGAATTATGTTTAACGCCGTAAATGACGTAAACATTTGAATACCTGACATAATCCATTTATGAATCTGACACAGATTACCATCACAAAACTCAAGCGTGCTGCTGAAGGAGTTAACAATATTAAAATAGAAGTAACAAGAAGAGTACTAATCAGTATTCTTTTGGCTCCAACAAGAACTGATATCCATCCACCAAAGAACTGAGCAAAGGTATATCCATAATAAAAACTTCCCAAAACGATTCCTTGGATTGTCTGGCTCCAAGCAAATTCTCCCTATTATTGGAAATGATTAATGCAATTGGATGTCGATTTACATGTAAAAATTAAGAAATCAAACCTCTTTCTCCTCTTGGGTAGAATTTTTTACGGTGGCATCCACACATTCTTGAGATGTAGTCTTATTTTCGTTGATAGACTTCACTGCCGAGTTGTTGACCATGGCTACTATCGCCACATTGAGTACAACACGATGTGAATAGATAGTAGTTACGGTAAAGAATCCCAAAATGGCTAATATTACGCGTGCCGGTAATTCAACTGCAAATGTTAATTTTATTTATTAGATAATTAAAGATTGCTTAATTAAAAAATAGAAATTATTAAATGCAAAGCAATATTGTAATCAAAATGTATGCTTGAAACATTACATATTAATAAAAATTAGAAAATCCTTATCCTTAAGTCTTATGTCTTTACATTTACACAGAACGATAAGTTTAAGAGTCACAGGACTTTACCCATTTAGGTGTAACATTTTTAAGACGGTATTATAAATTAATAAGTCCTGTGCTCTTTAAACGATCCTGTAAAATTAAGATACACATAAAGTTTAGAAAATCTTAATAATCTATTTTTCATTCTAAAGAAAACAGAATAGCGCATGATCTGATGCAAGAACATTTTTAATGATAATATGCATTTTGAGTGTCTTTAACTCTCCTCTTCAGTCCAGTATATAGTAGCTACATATACTCAAAGGGAAATTTGTAATTATATACTGGACTGTAGAGGATGTATGTAACTACATATACCCTTTTGGATATATGCAATTATATACACTGGATTAACTCGTAAGAGGAGAGTTGACACTTGAAACTTTGATCATCATTGGAAAAATGAAAGTTGTTGTATCAGGTCATGCACTGGTCTTCTTCAGAAGAATAAATAAAGAAAAAGATTAAGATACATATTTTGATATTGCGAATTATAATCGATTTTAAATAAATAATAAGTTTTAAAGGATTCTCTAATTATTGGGATAAATTTATATAAAACATGGTACTAATATTTGTAACAAGTCCGCAAAAAAGTTTTAGTAAAATTAGTCTTGTTTATTGTAAAAACTTACGTTTTTTATATTTTTAAAATAATAAATTAATTTAAATTAATAACACCGATATTTTTTAACTTTGAGCAAATGTGTCAGTCGAATAAAGACTATCTTTAGGATTCATTTCCAGTTTGAAATAGAAAGCGTAAAGCAGAGCTGCTCAATTCATTTTGGAAGCGGGCTATAATTTCCATTACATGTCAGCCGGCGGGCCACCTAGTGAATTATACTTGCTTACACTCATGATTCTTCTATAAAAGGATAGGTATTTGAATCAAACAAAGCTTTAAGTTGCACATGTTTTAATAATACCTAATAAAAAATACATGAGACTTGTGAAGGGGCTTATTATCTAATCATTTTCCAATATTTGGTGACAACAATTTAATTTTAATACACAAAAGTCGACTGAAAACTAATAGAACAAGTGTAATAAACGCGTAGGTTAGGTATTAACAGCGGTGGGGCGGTGACTCAAGTCATAGTTCATTCCGCGTTCGACCAATCACGTGGCGGTTGGCATTATTGGTAGCATGACATCGCGCATTGTGATAGCCGACACACTACTGTGGGCGGGCAAATTTAAATGCGTTGGCGAGGCACTTTGTGGCCCGCGGGTCTGGGTTTGGGCAGCCTTGGCGTAAAGTGTTGAAATGTGAAAATAGTTTGAAAATGATCGTTTACATATAATATAAATATAACAAATTGAAATAAATACATAATATTTATAAATCACGAATCAAGATAAATTTCTATGCCGAAGAAAGTATCCCCATCTCTAGCATTAAACATTCTCCCATAGATTTTGCTTAAATTTTTGCATGCGTTCCGCAATAAGTGCATGTGATAGAGAAGTGATCTTTTTCACAAATATACAGTCTTATTCCACAAAATTTTAGCGTTTTTCTGGTTGGAAAAGCTTGATAACGCTGTGTTGTTAAACTTATTACGCGCACTATACTTTTCTTCTTAATTAATTAATTAATTAAAGCGTGTTTCTCAAGTTCCTACTAGCGTACCTCTATGCATGCTGTGTCTAATCCTATTGTCTTCGATTTAGCGGTTATCCTGTAAACTCCAGTTTTGTTTATTTGGGACTTCATCCTTGTCATTTCGTAGCAAACTATATAATATGGAGTTCCGTTTATAAGCAATTATCTATTTTTTCTATCCACTTCATCGAACGTTGAACGTAATGTCGTTGAGTCTTTTGTTCCGGACCGAACCGAATTAAATTAAAACTATCGTCTTTTGTTCCTGTAATATCCAAAGGCCCATCGGCCCTTGGGTATTATAGGATGATATTCTTACGTCAACGATTCTGTTCATCTTTATTTCATAGTCCCTAGTTTCATATCTTAAGTATATATTTTGATATTTATGTTTTTAATTCGCAATTTTGTTCCATTTTATACTGTATGTTATTTTTCAATTTAATCCAAAAAGCAGTTTTTGCATCTTCAATTCATCTCAACTTACTACATTATCACATTATGTAATTCTTATAAAATTGATGATGATAACAATTAAAAGTTACAAAGTAGTACAATTATTAGTTAACAAAATAATATAACAAAATTATTAATAACAAAATAATAAATAGTTTTGTAACTTCAATTAGTTTTCGTTTTCAGTTATACAATAAAGGCAGTTTTCATATTACGCAGCTTAGATGAAGACTAACAATAGACACTGCGTAGAGAGAATATATTCATACTCGCATAGTTTCTCAGCTTGCCTTAATTAGGCTTTGAATTGGCTGCTTTAACGTTCATTTAAAGTATTTTCGATCGTTTGTAATAATTGTTATTAATAGATTAAACTTTTCGTGAAAACGTTATCAATATCAAACTCGCGATGCGTGTAGATGGCGAAGGTTTAGTGTTTCCAAATAGGAACACAAAAAGGCTCGTGACTCATATTGTGAGTTGAAGAAATAATAAGAGTCAAAGGATTATTGATAAAATTTAATTAAAATTCACAAAAAAGGAATCACTCCAAAATACAAAAAAGTTCCTTAAGTGAAGAAAAGCCTCAAAGAAAAAATCTTCCATCTTGTGAATTCGTTGTGTATCTTGATATGCATGAAAAGGACAAATTATGAAGACATTATTTTTTGTATTTTGGAAAGTTTTCCTGTTTACCCGTAAGATTTAGTAATAAAGAGTCAAAAGACTCTTAAATATTTACAAGACTCTTAAATATTTACTAGTTTAGGGACTAAATTTATTTTTAAAATAGTTTTTGACAGAAACGATTTAATTTAGTATCAGTCTTCAAAATGCACTCTGTGATATATACGAGTTTTTTCACAGTGTAATAGTTTATGAAAGGATCTTTTTAGAATGCTTTTTATTTCTCTCTGTACAGCCTCTCAGATTTCCGAAATTGACCGAAATTGTTTCTTTTCCGAAGCAGATTTTAACCAAGGACTACATGTTTAAACAGGTAGCCTTTGGTTAAAATCTGCAAATCTGTCCAACCCCCTTAATCAAACTTGAATTTTTTTTTTGAATTTTTGGAATGTTTTTTAAGTCCCCAAATTTTTTCAAAATTTTTTATCAAAGGCTAATTAAAATCGCGAAAAAATTTTATCGCGATTTTAATTAGCCTTTGATAAGGCTCGATTAAGGCTTAATTGTTTTTTAATGGGAGTTTTTTTTTAATCAAATTTAATTAATCGTTCTAAAGTTGTAGTGCACGGATTTGACTTCGGTAAAGTTATTTAAAGCTGCTTTCTGATGTCAAAAACGACCTCCAATAGTTTTTTAATTTTTTTAATTAATAGATTTTATTATATAGAAGTTTAATTAATTAGGGGGGGTCGGAAATC